TATTAGATAGCTAAGTTGATAAAAAGTCAAATTATAGTGTTTTTTTTCAGACCAGTGACAACTCACATGAGCTAAAAGCAAAGTTGTACATCATTTGTAAGCTTTCTGATATGAACAGGCCAACAGCAAAGATTTGAGGGTGACTCTTTTCTCCTGGGAGGCAGCGGTCCAGATGACGGATTAACGACTGACAAAACTCTGTCGGGGAAAGAAAGAACATTTGCAAACGCAAAAAGCAAAGGAGACGTGTGCAGAACTGGGTCGAGGTGAAAGATGGCACCGGAGCAGGTCCCTCTGACCTCGTGGCAGTGTCCCCCCCCCCCCCATAGGCAATTTATTGAGGATTTAATGAAATAATGCTGTAAGTTTCTAGGCTTAGTTAGGATTTATGTCAACATTTCATCAAACCTCGAGGACTCGTTCTTTTCGGCCGTCCCCGGTTTTGACAACTCTGTCTCTCATACGTGTGCTTGTCATGGAGGGACCCTTCCAGAGCAATAAGTTAGCGGAAACACTTCTCCAGATGGTATAGTTTGCAGATGTTTTCGGGGACGCACCTGGCAGGCCTCTTTAGTCTCTCCACCTTCGTTACACATCCAGCACAGAGGGCCACAATTTAAACCGGCCGCATTGTTATAAAGCCTCTTAAAAAGTTAGCAGGCGTCCGTTAAACAAAGGCAGGCGGTCCTCCAAATGTCTGGATAGAACATCTCAACTGCTATTAAAGTTGCCAATAGGCTTGCTTTTAATTTTTTTAAGTTTCTAGAGGATAAATCGATGTCATTTAGACCCAAGCGGTGGTCCAATCGCTCCATTTCTCCATGGACCTGGTAGAAGTACCAGCAGAAAAACTAATGCAGGTGTTAAGACCCTCTAATTAAATGGTTTGTAATTATTAATGCTCAACTAAATGAGATAATAACACAGCTCAGTGGGAGCATCTTTTTTAGCCCTCTGGAGAAGAGGAATCTTTTTTAAAACCTTGTTTAAAACAGTGTTTTTAACTATTTCAAATACATTTCTGGGACACATTTCTTTCGAATTGGGCTTCAATTTTGTCTCAGGTTTGGTTTTCTCGCTCCTATTTTAGCATTTTGTCTTGACAGTGGCATATTTTACTATAAGATTTGGTGCACACATTTATGTTGCCTGTGGAAAAAGTTCTGACCAGAAAACCGTCTTATCTGCTCACCATGACTATTCCCTGCTAGTGTGATAGGATTATCAGGACTATCCACACCAAATCTGCTTTGTTTAAGGTTTGCAATGTTTACATTGTGTCGGCTGAGCTAAATGAATATAAAACATGATTATGATTCAAATGAGTTAACCTCTGGTGTAATAAAAGCAAATCAATTTCCGGTCTAATATTTGTGGAATGCTTGGTGAGCAAGTTCTTTTCAGTGGTTGATCTTTTTGGTATTGTGATTTAGTGATTCAAGACAAACATTTTATGGATTCGTGATCAGGTTTTTAAGACCGAGTTTAGCTATATTGGAATTGACAGTATCCATGATATTGAACAGGAAATATCCAAATCATGTCATCTGACAAATAATACATTATTAACACATAATTGTTTTTTTTAAATACATTTTTCGTTTGCCGTTCCATACTCATTTAAAGATAAATTCAATAATACAAAGAATAAAATAAGTGAGAAAGGTATAACTAGAACTTTTAATTTCTCTTCATATTGTTTGCTGGTCTCAAAAAGTAGACTCAGATAGGGACTTTTTTTTATTCAGATATATTTATTCTCATTCAAAGCCATTCTGATCAACATAAACAAGTAGGTGGTAGCATATACATATATATGAACCCTAACCATATATAAATGCAAACATGAAGGTTTATTGCTTATGTTTTTTACTCCTTTTAAAACCCAAAATCCCATCAGTAATTCAGTAATTAAACATAAATAGATTAAAATAAAAAGCAAAACTCTGACAAATGTCCATGCAGAGTGAGAGAAAAAAATCCAATCAGAGGGTTTTATTGGTATAATGTTATATTTTTACAGGATCAATTCATCTCCCTTACATCATTATCAAATTTGACAAATCACTTGTGCTATACATTGGTAATAAACAACTATAAACGGGGACTTGAAGAGGAAGACATGCTCTGTCCTTTCAATGTCTATTAACTTTATATTACAGGGACCCGGTCCAATAACGGTGTCTCCAGCTGCCTTGGACTACTCCCTTACCCCCTAACATCCTTCTTCCCGTTCTCTCACTCTGACTTCCTCACCTGTCAGAGGTGGAATGTCGCTGGCGGATACTGTCCTCCAGAGTGCAGCTTTTGACAGACGTAACGAGGCTCAGTCTGAACATTTCCCAGCTCCTATCGGGAGCAGACAGTGGCCATTACTACAGGACAGCAGCTGCTGTTTGCTCCAAAGCAGAAGTTCGGAGCAGAATGAAAAGATGCAGGAGGAGGGCTGAACCAGGATCTGCTCCGGGAAACTCATATGTTAGCAGGGTTTTTGGAGGGGGTTATTTCAAATGCATGCAAACTTTTGCAAGATATGCTCATTTTTGCATATTTCTTTTCAGAGGTTCAATGTACTTCATCCAAATTTTCTCTCAAACCTGTACTAATCTCAAAGTGGACATCTACTCTCACTTGTCTCTAACTTTAGAGTGTAAAAATCAAGTGTAATTGGCATTTCTACATGTGACCTCAGAGATCATATCTGATTAAACGGGTACTTTTAAAAGCTGGAGTCGGTGATGTTGTGAGAGTAGAATGTGGGAGGCTCATAAAAGAAGGTTCATGCCCGTGTCAGGCTGCAGATGGAAAGAGCACAGCTGTAGGAGCCGGCGTGCACAAAGCGAACTGGTGCAAAGTGCACGCTATAAGTGGCCTCTGCTGCTCTCCACCAGGCTCATGCCCAAAAGCTTTATTCAACCCGAGTCTTTCCTAAAGAGCCCGGTTCGGTTTTTCTGATCCTCCAGGCAGCTCCGGCAGACAGAAGCGCGGTACCCATAATCCCTCGGGAGGGAAAAAGAAGGGCTTTAGGTCCGGCCCACCCCGGGGTCCGCTCCACGCTGCTGCCGATTTCCCCTTCGGCACTTTTCCAGCTCCCAGCAGGAAAGGAAATGGCTCTCACGGGCAGTGCTCAATTCGCCATCTACTGGGCGGAAGTCGGGCCTCAATGAGGCCGTCAGTCCGATAGGTCATGCTGTCAGAGCGCGCCACAGTTCACATCCTCTCATTAGACTGCCATACTTTCAACAGCCCAGCGCTGGAAAAAAGCAGAGTCAGGGAAATTGGGGGCCGAATCGAGCTCGGATTGAGGAGGGGAGAAAAAAAAGAAGGGGAAAATGGGGCTTTTTGTGCAGGTACGGACTGAGACGGAGCTTGAGTCCGGCCCTCTGAGCCGTGCACCGGGGAGATTATCAGTTTACAGCATGTGTTGGAGACATAAATATTCTCGGCTGCCGGCGTGACATGAGGCGGCCCTGTTGTGTGTGTGTGTTTTTTTTTTTTCAAGCTGCGTCAAGATGATTTTTGTTTTGATTTGGTTCCGTGTGGCTTAAACTGAACTCGACTAAAATTGAAGTTATACTGATTTGTGGAAAAATCCAAGTCCAGTCTTATTCTATTGAGGAAGTTAAATGAAATTGTGTTACATGTTTGGGACTATCTTTGTTTAAATGCACAGAAAAGGACTGTGATTTACACTTTTTCATTTAGATGTATCAAGAATTCCACCTAAAAGATGTTCAGATTTACTGAAAAGAGGTTTGACCAGCTTGTAAAAACAAGCTACAGAGAAAGCAGAACTCAACAAACAAGCTAGAGACTTTATTTATTAAAACCAGTATATAGAGTTGCTGTATTACATATTTTATCTTGCTACATTGTGGTTTTAATACATTTACCATCAGTGGCTTAAGAAAGACAACTCCTAATGACAACAATTGCATACAATACAAATTAGCAAACATATCAAAATCAGTTTTTACAACTTTTGTAGCAACCAATGCTTCCTATTGGTGTGCCATAGTGCAAACTGTGTTGTTCGTAAGACAAAGTTTGAAGCATGATCTCGACATTCATTCATCTCAAAAAACGAAGAAAAAAAAAAAAGTTGTTCTCTCTGTCTCAAACACATTTTCATTTGTAGGCTGCATTCACTGTGCCTTCAGTTCAAGTCCTTCTGTCCAGTAAAGGTGAATTTACAATCAGGGTAATTCAAGTGTGTCGGGTAGGTTTCTTTTGTTGTCTACTCGAGATTTCCTGGCGGGGATCGATCACAGAGCGCACAACCACCTCTCAGGATGGACAGAAAACCTTTGGAGCCAAACAGGATTTCAGGAGCCAATCTGGACTTCTTACCAGCACCTGATTTTAGGGGGTTATTCCCGCCATCCTGGAATCTGGTTACTGTAAAAATCTCCGCCTGGTGGGACTCGGTGGTCTTTTAATCGGCTAATGTTGTAAATCTGAGCGGGGTGCACTGAACAGAGGGGGGGGTCCTGTTAACCGTCCAGGCCTTTGTCTGTAAGACCCCCGGAAGGACTGGAGGAGGACGACGTCTCACTAAAGACTCTCAAACTGTTTCCCGAGCCCTTTTCAAAAAAGTCCGAGAGGATTCCTGGTTTCGCTCTGAAGCCGCAACTCAAAATATGATTAGCGAAAACATAGCAAGCGAAGCAAAGACGTGTTTTTAGCTCGTGCCTTGGCTATAAACGGGAGTTTTGGGTTGTAGTGGGATGTACCGGTATAAGCAGCCAGCGTGTTGGTTTAAATGGATAGAACGCAGAAAAAAAACGAACCAAATGGGATCTAAAATTATTTTTAAAAAATACTTTTTTTCCGGGCTAACTTTGATTATTTCTGTCCACATTCACCCCAAGGTCCAGCATGTGTGTGTGTGTGTGTGTGTGCGTGTGTGTTTTGGTGTTCCTGCATCCATCTGGCCTCGAGCCTCGATGGCTACGATTTGACTGGAAGAAAGAAAAGCAAAAGAGCTATGTCACTGGTGAAGGCCCGGGCGGTTTCGGTGGGGGGGGGGGCCTCTATTGTGGGTCGACCGGTGGTCTGCAGGAAAGCTCTGGAACTGGTGGATTTGGGGGGTGGAAGATAGTTGGAAGTCGGGGGCGGGGGGGAGGGACGGGGGGGGGGGCGTCTCAGTCCCGGCTCAAGAGCACCCGCACCGGTCCACCACCATGGAGGGGATCTTGCCGTAGATGATCTGCTCCTTGTCGTTGAAGTAGAGCATGTTGATGGGGGACATCTTGGTGGGCGTGCAGCAGGGGCCCGCGCTGCCCCGGGGGTTGGCCTTGTTCACCAGGTGGGTGTGCGGGTACTTCTGCAGGTGCATGTACTCGCACTCCCCGGAGCAGTAGTTGGCCTTGTAGCGCTTGGGGGCGATGATCCAGTCCCAGCCGAAGTCCTCGAAGTCCACGGTGAGCGGGTAGCGGCAGCAGCGGGACTCCAGCGCGTTCTCGTCGCAGTCCAGGCCCGAGTCCCTCCGGGCCCGCTTGGGGCCCTCGGAGATCTTCACCTCCATGAACGGTTGCTGAAACGACAGATAGGGGGGAAAGAGGGGGGGGGGGATTTTGAGAGCGAGCGGCTGGCACGGGGCCACGGTCTCTGAGAGCTCTGGTTTTCAAACGTGGCACGATAATATTATGAAACTTTGAATGGAGGAGGAATTAAATCAGCCGACGGTTGGTTAGCCGTAGCTGTCAAACGTCTCTAATTACCCACGGTTGTGTGCTGTGTGTTTGTCATTGATAGTGGCTGTGTGTGTGTGTGTGAGTGTGTGCAGGCAATTACTCTGATTTGCACAATACTTTCAGGAATGTGGAACTGGTGAACTTTTATGTAATGGAGCAATAAGATGGAAGGTCAGTGTGGCCGGGCATCCGTCCAGCACGCAGGTGAGCGCCGGCGTGGAGTCTGTGTTGATTAACGGCTCCCACAAGCCGATTTTGAATCCTTCTCCTAGTGGAAAAACCGGCCTTTCCGAATCCCCGAGCCTGACCCACAGACAGTTTCCTAAAGCTCCACACTCTGTTTTAGAAATGGGATTTGTTTTTACTGAACAGAATCAACTCCCTGGGATGCATGAGCTATTTCTGGGGAGTATAAGCAGGACTAAATATAGCCGTTGATGAAACCGTGCCCTATGATAAAAAACAGAAGGTCCAGGCTCACCAGGCCCTCCTCTCCCGGCTCCGCGGAGGTCACGGCCAGATCGGTGCCCCGGGAGTCGAAGGCGTTGATCTCGATGCCCCGGTTGGTCTCGGGCTGCCGCAGCCACACGGTCAGCACCTGCTTGACGTCGATGCTCTGCCACGAGCTCACCCCGACGTTCACGTCCAGCTTGAGGGAGCGGATGCGCACGTGCCGGCTGCCGTCCGCCACCGGCGTGAGCCGCGAGATCTGCAGGAAGACGGTGGTGGCCTCGTCCGCCGGGCGCAGGTGCACCCACAGCTGCGCGCGCACCACGCGGCTGGCCTGGAACTTCTGCGCGAACGAGAAGAAGCAGCACTTGGGGTGGCCCCCCACCCGGACCGCCGGGTCGGCTGCGGAGACGGGGAGGCAGAGACACCGGGGAGTCAGAGACACCGGGGAGTCAGAGGCACCGGGAGTCAGAGACACCGGGAGTCAGACACACCGGGAGTCAGACACACCGGGAGTCAGA